GAGTATAAGGAGACAACTAGGTACCTCAGAGCAGATGATGAAAATGACCGCTATCACAAAAGGAAACAAATACGACAAGTAGGTCAACAGATGAAACCAGCTAGCTCTCCAAAGGCCACAGACAAAAATCCTCGAATTTTTACCAAACCTAAAATTTATCCAAGAGAAACAGGATCTCAACAAAAACCAACTCCTGAACCGGGCAGTAAAGACAAAAAGAATCAGAAAAGTTCTGATTTCATAACAAGAGCAGAACTCAAGGACATCCTGAACAACGTTCTCTCCTCAAAATCTTCTTCAAACATAGAACAGCCCCGTAAACCGAAATACCCTCTGATATGTTACCGCTGTGGTGAGCAAGGGCATTCTGCGAGAAATTGTTCAAGCGAAAAGAAGATTCAGAATGGAAATGCTGAGAGTAGACTTAACCCTAGAGCCACTGAATTTAAATCGTCAAACTAGAAAGGGTCAGTTCTGAGGGCCAAGGGATGACCCAGGTGGATTTTAAAAATGGCCAAACATTTCAAAATTGTTGTATAAATGAGAAACGGAATACCTGCTTTGATTTGTCTGGAGGCACAGAGGCAGTAGAGGATAATTTGCAACAAATTAAGGGAGATCACTGCGACTTAGATGAAGATATATTTTATGATGCTGAGAGTATAGGTAGTGGGCCTTGTAAATCTCACGATCAGCGGAAACTTTGTGAAGTAGAGGAAAATAGGGTTGTTGGTTGTTTGGACACACTTGGAGACAGTTTGGTGGACTGTGATGTGGTGCCCGTTGTTAACCCTGATTGTGAAACTCAGACATTTGGTGAGTCTGACACTCAACTTACATCAAGTGAGATGCTTGATACAAATGCAGGTGAATTCCTTAATATGAGTTGTTGCACGCATATTGAAACTGACCGTTTTACTAGTGTTTTAAGGTATCCGATCCATATTAGCCTCAGATTCAATGAAATTGAATGCATAATAGATATGTATGGGCTAAATACTCAGTGTAGTTAGAAATCTTCAATCATTAATTTCTGCTTAGGTAATAAATTTTTTTAAAATTTCTTTTGGTAAATCCCTTTCTACTCTAAAATGCTTTAAAATAATATCAGGATATTTTACAAACAACTGATAGAAATTCTGGTCCTAATATGGGTCGGATACCTTAAGACAAATCAACAGCTGTCCAGGAGTATATATAAATGGATCTGTACAAGGAGTAGATTTGATATGGCGCCCACGTATCACATACCCTTGGACTCGATCCCTTACTACTGTTCCCTCTGTCACTTCCAAACAGATGAAGAGGTCAAGTTAAAAGATCACATCAAAAATTATAGCAGACATCAGGAGGCCAAGGACAATTTGATACGCCTAGGGAGACAGCCAGGAGCTGACGAGACCTACTTATAACATAACAAAGATGGAATCATTCCGAAGGAAGATCAACATTTTGAGAGATTGGGGAAGGAAGAATCGAGGAAAGTGTGGCTAAACAGATTGAAAGGCTCTGGAAGGACTGTTGCTACTCCTCAGCCGGTGACTCATCAAAGCCCCATTGTCATGGATATTCCACCAGCACCGCCATCCACAGTAACATGTAATACACAAAGCCAGGTGAACAGCAGCGTCTTCCAACGGCTTCAACCTACCCCTACATTTCCAGACTTACTGCAGCTAGATGATGTGAACCCAGAACTCTTCACTTTTCTGAGCGAACCTATTGAGCAGACAATTGCCACACCAATCTGCCTGCCCCAGGAGAGAGTTGAGGCAGCAACGGTTGTCACTGCACCAGCTACAACTACTACAGAAGAACCAGCACGTGGAAGACTAGCACCAAGGAAGTCGATGGAAAAGCAAAGATCACGGAGTAGGAGCAGCAGTGGGTCAAGTGAGGAAGATACAGATAGTACAAGAAAGAGAGCGAAGACAGGCGAAAGAGAGAGATCGAGGGAAAGATCACGTTCAAGGTCACAGACCCGCCTCCTCTACGATATTGTCGGGCACCTTTTTAACGTTCCGAGGACCCTACAAAACATACATCATGAGATGCAGACACAGACAGACATCTTGAAGGGAATAAGGGATCAGAACGCCACCAATAATCAACAAACAGTCAGGAGTACAGACAGGAGTGAACCTAATCGACCTACAAGGAATGACTGGGCGCATAAACCTACAAGAAGATCCAGGTCACCAGTAAGACAAAGGAACAACGGTTACCATTATCAAAGATACCAGGCCCCCTTTAATAGGAGGAAATAAGGAAATTGTTAGGATTAAATTGAATTTATATTGTAAATGTTTTGTTAGGATTAAATTGAATTTATATTGTTAATGTTTTGCATAATCTAAGGATGAAAATGTACATTTGGGTTAACTGTTTTGGTAAATGTGGGTTAGAGGTGGATTTTTGTTTATACAGACATGACTGTATATCTTAAAAATGTTAAATAGGGTATAACATATATCTATAAGATATCGTTGATGTGAATCTGATGTATATAACAGAAAGCTTTGTCAGTGAATTGATGATTAGTTTACATGTTGATAACTTGTTATGAATGTTATTTTTTTTTTTTTATTAATATTCACAATCTCATCAACTGTACATATTTTTCATTTTATACTTGCAATGGCACTGTCATAGTATTTGATTATTATTCATGAGGACATGAATCTTTTTAACGGAGGGGTAATGTAAAGTTTGGTAATGACAAGTTTCCATATTTTATTTGTATTTAGATTACAAATCTTGGCATATTAATTTAATCCTATAAATGATACTCAATTTGAGTATTTTAACCGTATGTATTGTTTATTTATAACGTGATGTTCTAAAATTGGATTCACAACTTTACATGTCTTCGTATGCAAAGTGAAAGTAGAACGAGTATATGTAATACATGCGTATCCTTTCGTATTTAATGATGTCCTTGTTGAAATAATTGCATAAATGTTGTAAAAAGAGTATGATCTACTAGATGTTTTGATTAAATTACGTTTTTCACTAGTATTTTACCTGTATTATGCAGACACGTGTTGTAAGCTGCAGAGAGTCTATTTTTCTATTTACATGGCGGCGCAATCCATTATGGGTGAATTTTCGTTTACTTCTTGATCCGCGCATCTGATATTTATGCGCTGACAGATTTTACAATTAATTAGAAAAATGAGCTCTAAGGTAATTAATTATGTTTTATGAGACATTAATGAATTAGAGTTTTTATTTATTTATATTTTATACTTGTTAAAGTAATTTTTAATAGACGGGAACTATTTTCCGTTGTATTTTCCTACTGAACTCCGTTGCTTTCCAACGGATTCCGTTGTGTTTTGGAACGGGACCGTTTCCCGAGGGTATACAAACGAGCTACCGTTGTATAACGGGGACTCCGGATTTTTTGAGGTTCAAGATAGGATGTAAATTATAAGATAGGATAGGTGAAATTTTAATAACTTTGGGGAAAATTTCTTAATTTTTTAACTCAGTGAATTGAAGAAGTAATATTTTAGCATTTATTTATTAGAGTCGCTTCAGAAATTAATTATGACTTAGGGAGCTTAATATTTGGGGGAGTATTAGTGTAAGGACGTCTGCAGCCACTTTAATTCTTTGTGTTTTCTTGATTGAATTTTGTAAGTGTTTGAATTTTATTTAATTTGTTTGTTAAGAGATTAAGTCAAAATAAACCATCATCTCAAGATATTTGATTCTTATTTTAATCATTTACGGAGTACATCATTTCATTTAAAATCAATTGCTTTAAAGGGATCAGAAAGTTGTCGGGGGTCAAAAGTAACATTTATTGAGAGCCATCCAGTTACTTGTATTTACGGTGTCAGATTTTAGAGCACTAACACGTTCCAATATGATCAATTATGGCTTAGTTATTCTCGAGAAGATTTTTAAAGAAATTTCCTATCTATTTCTATGTAAAACTTGGTTGGTCATTTTGGCCCAGCCCTACCCCCGGGGGTCATGATTTGAACAAATTTGAATGTACATTACCTGAGGATGCTTCCATATAAATATGATCAATTATGGCTTTGCTATTCTTAAAAAAAGATTTTTAAAGAATTTTCCGATATATTTCTATGTTAAACTTTGGTCGGCCATTTTGACCCAGCCCTCCCCCCGGGGGTCATGATTTGGAAAAACTTGAATCTACACTACCTGAGGATGCTTCCATATAAATATGATCAATTATGGCTTAGTTATTCTCGAGAAGATTTTTAAAGAATTTTCCTATATATATCTATGTAAAACTTTGGTTGGCCATTGTGGCCCCGCCCTACCCCCGGGGGTCATGATTTGAACAAACTTGAATCTACACTACCTGAAAATGTTTCCCCATAAGTTTCATCTTTCCTAGCAAAGTGGTTCTTGAGAAAAAGATTTTAAAAAGATACCACCAAATTTTCATTAATTCCCAATTACCTCCCCTTGAATGAGGGTGTGGCCCTTCATTTGAACAAACTTGAATTACCTTCACCCAAGGATGCTTTATGGCAAGTTTGGTTGAAATTGGATCAGCGGTTCTTGAGAAGACGAAAATGTGAAAAGTTTACAACAACGACGAAAGACAGAAAAGCTCACTTGAGCCTTTGGCTACACAAGTAGACTACATTACAGTGGCGTAGCTAGCGAATTATAAACAGTATTCAGAAAGGCAAGGGGTCTGGGGGCCGCCTTTAGGTCTCCAGCGGGTCCAGGGCAGGGCCCTGATGGGGGCCCAGGGGGCGAAGCCCCCTTGAAGCTCATGCATTTTAAGGGTTTTGTACATTGGAAAACTACCTTAAAATAGTTCAATTTTTACAATTGTAGTTCTACTGCAGGGTTTTAAACTAACTTTAAACTTTTGCTAGCCATGTGGGCTACTGGACTTTGCCATTCCAGGGGCCCACATCAAAATTTGGTCGCCCACACTTTTTCAAAAAAATAAAAGTACAAAACACAGTTTATTTTTGTCTTTAGAAGGTTTTAATCATTTAAATTTAATTTATATATTCATATTCCATTTCAATTTCCCTCAAATTTTCAAAAACTTCATTTTCAGAAATGTCATCACTTAGATCATCTTCTGAATCATTCTCTTTATCTGCGTCTCTGACTTCAGATTCCTCTTCTTCACTTGCATCAATGTTTTCTTCTTCATCTGCTTCATGGTTTTCTTCTTCTTCTACTATGTGCATGGAATTATCCTCCTCAACATGATTTACAGCTGTGACACCATCACAGTTTTCAGTCTCTGTGTTCTTCTTCCTTTCAAATTGAGGGCGCCTTTGCCTCATTGAACTGCTGTTCCAAGAATGTATTGCTGGCTTTGGGTCATAGTCCAAGATGTTTTTAGAGTGGAGCTTAATAGAGAGAGCATGATTAAGTGTGTTTTGGTTGAGTCTAGATCTTAAATTTGTTTTGAGGCATTTCAATTGGGAAAACCCTCTTTCTGCTTCTGCAGAACTTGGTGAAAGAGTGAAAATGAGATCAATAACTGAAAGGATATTGGTAAACTTGTTCTCATATTTTCTCTGTATAAGGACCCAGTCGCTTCCAAGAAGATCGCTAAAAATACAATTAAAAAAAATTAACAAGTTTCTCAAAGATTTTATTGGTAAGTAATTAGCTGCACTCAACACTTTATTGTTGTTGATATATTTACCTCTTGTGTATTTCCTTTTTAATCATTGTCCATTCAATTTCAGCTTCAGGAACATTCACCCCAGCCTCTGTGAGAACAGGATCAAAGTGCTCAAGTAGAATTTGCAACTCCTTATCCCCAAAGTCTGCAATTATTTTAAATTATTTTAGTTATTGTATTTCAGCCTTAGTAAATAATTTTATTTTTTACAATTTTTACAAGCTCTAAATATACTTTCAAAGATTTTCTAGAACACAATTTCTTAACTGAAGTAGCAGAAAAAAACACACAAAATGATTCAAAATTAGAAGTGAACCTGAAATAAAAATCAATTGGAATTAAAGCAGGAAATTAAAGGTAATAAACTTGAATCTGGAACTAGAAATAACCATCAATTCAAACTTGAAAGTTCACAAAGGAACAGACTATAAACCTCTGAGATCTTCCCATTCCTGTGGCCATGCTTTTAAATCAGCTATGCGTGTTGCATTAACAACAGGCATTGTTGAAGATGGGGCAAAATCTGAAAATCTTTTCTGTAGAGCAGACTCTATGCTTTCAATGAAAGTAGTTTTTATTTGATTGAAGTGTTAAAAGCCAGTGTTACACAACTTAGTGCCTTCATACTGGTCATATTGCTTTCTGAGATTAGGTCCATCACTAAAATGCATTAGCACCAAACATCTGACTTTGATATTATGAAATATTAAATGTCTGTAAACACTGGAAAACTAAAAAAGAAAACAAACCATGTTTTGCTCTTCCTAACAGCTCCAAGTGCACTTTCCAGGGAATCATGCTGACATGATATTAATGCAGTCCTGTCCTGGAGGTTCAGTGATAGATGACGCAAAGGTGCAAGGACATCCAGCAGAAAGAGCAAAAATCCAACAATAACTTTTGACTTCAAGAGTTTCAAGAAACCTTTTGACTTTGCTTTAGCATCAGATGAAACCCTTTCTCTTGTCTCCAATAACTTCAAATAGAAAAGATAAATAGGAAAATAAATCAATTTTGACTTTTATGAAAATAAAAAAATTCATTCAAAAATTAAATTTAAAAAAATACATTCAACACATTTAGAGAGTTAAAAACTTACCTGTTCCATATGGGTTATAATAAATTTGTAAGACGTAATCACATGGAGGATGGCTGTGACTTGATGACCAATCCATCTTGTTCCTCCGACTCTAGTTGGAATTAACAGCTTTTCATCCTGAGACTTTGTAGCTTCATATGTTTTCTGCAGAACTGCTCTATTCAGAGCGCTGTTGTGATAAAAATAATACAACCCTGCCAATAAAATGTTCACTCTCTCGTATGTCTTTACTTTTTTAGTTACATCCTTCAAGCTTAACTCTAGTCGATGAGCCATACAGTGGATAGTAACAATTGATGGACAGTCTTTTTCAAGGATAGCTCTAACACCAGATTTGCATCCTGTCATCACACTGGCTCCGTCACAACTCAAACCAACTAGCTTATTTGATATCTGACTCCAGTCCATCTTCAGATTACTGACAACTGTCTCTTGTAAACCATGAACAATATTTTCTCCAGTTGCTTTATTTGCCGAATGAACACCAATGAAATCTACTGTCACAATACCTGCTCTGCATCCTCTAATGAACCACATCTCCTGCTCCTTCACAGCTGAATCAGTTGACCCATCTCCAATTACAGATAAAAATTTAGTGTCTTTGATCTGATTAGCTATTTTCTGAAATTCAACATCAGCAATAGACTGAATAAAAACTTTGGCCGAGTTAATGTTTCTATATGTTCTGCCTAAATCAAATCCTCTCATACCATCTAAGTCACACATCCATGTAAAATCACTCAAAGGTCTGTTGTTTTTTTATTAGTGCATGACAATTACGGAACATTTTTTCCAACTTTTCGAAGTTCTCTTTGTTTAGTGTAGAGATAATCTTCCCAGATTCAGACTCGTCTACAGGCTTGCTCTTACCCTCATTGACTTGAACAGCATATTTATGTTGTAAAGAATTTTCATGTTTAGTAACACTATCTAATTTGTAGGAGGTACAACCTGTAACGAACAGGCGGGATCCAGTAGTACATGTTGGTATTTGTTTGCAGTAGGTGCATATCATACCCTTTTCCGAGTCAACTAACCATTCTCTATTTATCGTCCATGCAGTTAAAAACTTTCGTTGCCTTTTAGTTTTGTCATAATTGTCATGATAGTCTTTTCTTTCTAACTTTGTTTTCTTCGGTTGACTGACGACATCTATAAACCGCCACATGTTTACAATTGTCAAAATGAGTTAGACGCTTGCAGAGTAATGTTTCTCGGTTTCAAAAACTAAACGCTTTACTGATAACGATCTAAAAAGTCATGATCATAAAGACGCGATTTTATTTTGGTAAAGACAAGCGTTTTCATGATCAAAAGTACGACTTATCGTAATGAAAATAGAAAACATTCGGGACAAAACTGGAAATTGTTTAATCGCCATGTGGGCTACTAAGATTGCATTTTAAAATCGCCCACACCGACTTTTAGTCGCAAATGGCGAGTGGGCGAGTGTTAATTTCAAACCCTGTACTACTATACTAAATATTATACTTGCCGAGTTTTGACAATACTTACAACTCCCCAAATTTCCTTTTTCTAAAAGCATTTCTTGTTTTCATGAAATAAGTCAATAAATTTTCAGTGAAAATCTTGTAATATGTTTAGGGCTCCGAACAAAACCTTGACTTTGTGAGGATGCTTTAACTGATATTTTCACAATAATTTTTCGATTACAAGAACATGTTCGCTTTTTCGTAAAGTTGGCTAATTTTTCGAACTTTTTTCTCATTATTTGTAGCAACTTTTTACGAGGGGTGATAAAAAAATTCGCAAATTATCTCTATATCTACAAATCCACAATTCAGATTAGAATGAAATTCGGTACACACATAGCCATACACAAGGTATATAAATAGCATATGCTGAATTAAGTTTCTCTCCTTGTTTGTGACGTCACAATGTGAAAATGACGTCACTATTTAGGTCACTTGTGACGAAAAATGGTTGTGTCAGTCGAACTCGTTCACCAAACGACTGTACAATTTATTGTAATATCTTAGAAATCCCTCTACAGTATCATATAATAATTTGTACACAGTTTATTGAGATAAATGAGTTCCTATAAATTCAATTCATGATTGGATTAATCGTTTTAGTGAAGGAAGGCTGATGGTTAAAAATGATACTTGTCATCTTGCCCAGTGAAAGCAAGTTTGAAAAGATATGTATTTTTAATTAAGCAATTTGCTATCAAAGACCTCCAATTAGCACTTTGAAAAATAGTTGAATATTTGAACAATGATATAAGTATTAAATACCTAAGATATCGTTTACTTTAGATTTTAAACATATTAGATATGATAAAAAGGATGCACCCATTCTCTATCCACCTTGAATAAAGGTCTCTCCTGAGACAGAAGATGTGTGTTTTAATGGTCGCCATGCTTATTTTTGGAAAGGATGTTATTATCCACCCATTCTGTTGCAGAGATATGACCATTTCTGACAAATTAACTGTTCTTGTCATAAAAATTAACTCACATGGAAAGAAATATAAAACTCGGAAAAATCTTTTAGCTTTTGTGACAGAACGCTACGGAGGGGGTCACGTGACCGCCAATATCACGTGATTCGCGCATGCGCAGAACGGTGGTTGATGTGCATTAAAATCGGGGAGGATTAATTTAAAATATAATCAATATTAAAACCAAATATTGTTTCTTGTATGGAACTTTTTGATCATCCCTCGTAATTAAAATTAACTGACGAAAGAGAATTTATTTTGGACAGCAGGGAAACCTTGGAAAAATTTGAACAAAAAAATTCAATGTAGTTGCAATAAAAATTATTTCTCAATTAACCATGTTTTTTTTAATCATTTTTAAAACGCGAAATGAAATTCTATATACAGGTATATCAACACAAAAACTTGAGATTCTATTTACAGTTATATCAACACAAAAACTTGAATATTCTCCATGTGTTAGATGTTAAAAATCAACTGATTTGAAATAACATGTAAAATACTAGTACAACGCAGTTACCTTTGGTTTAAAGAGAGTATTAGGGGAATTAGCTAGTAAATAACATACATTTAGTTTGGTATTACATGTATTTGCTTTCGCTTGAATTCACACAATTATGAAATTCGTCCTCGAAATTTTAAAAAAAAATTTAACTATATGTACACTGTATCAAAAATCTTAGGTAGAAGTTGAATATATTCATTTAATATATTTAGCAGGTAAGGATTAAAAATATCTTTTAATATATCTTATTTTTTTGAATTTACGACATTTTTTTCTTTATCATTTTTTATTTTTGGTGAAAAATTTGTGTATTCATTTGCGTTTTTGCGTAAAGGGCGCTACACCACTCAGGGTTCTCCATGATTTGAAATTTTACTGTGTTGCAGAGTTTACGCGAATCATTAAAATTTTGCGGTATTTTCGCGATCAAATTCGCGATTGAATCACTATTCGTTATAATTACAAAAGAATACAGCACAGTTTTTTTTAAATCACTAATTCGTTACACAAATGGTATGGTTGTACATATTAATAAAAGTAAAAAACATGTTCTGAAAAGCAATGGCAATTCTGGTCAATACAGTCTAACTATTTACTATTTTTGAAAGTCCATTTGCCATGATTTTTTTTTTTCAGTTTTCTTGATCGAATTACCGAATTAAAAAAAAAAACTTCAGAATACTTTTGAGAGTTCTTGTAAATTAATTTAAAACAACTTATTTACATCAATTGATTTCGATACGATGTTTAACTTTCAGTGCCAACATAATTCTATAGAGCCGTGTCTCTATAGAACCAGAAGTCTCTGTCGAGACTGTAGCTCTACTGGTTTATACTTAAAACAAAGGAAGAGAAAAGTAGCAGTTGTGACTTGAGACTTCAAAACAGGAATCAATAGAAAAATGATCCTTGACACTCAATAAAATAAAAACTGACGCACAGAATTATGTATCTTAGTGTAGTCTACTTGTGTGCCAAGTTATATTAAAATCGGACCAAAACTAAAGGAGGAGTAGCATTTGAAAGAATTTCACAGAAATTTCTATTTCAAGTAACCTCGGCAACACTGTTCATCGAAAACATAAACCGATGCACAGAATTATGTATCTTAGTGTAGTCTACTTGTGTGCCACATTATATTGAAATCAGAACAAAACTGGTGGACGAGTAGTATTTAAAATAAAATTTCACAGAAATTTCTATTTGTAGTAACCATGGCAACACCGTTCTTCGAAATCAAAATCCGATGCACAGAATTATGTATCTTAGTGTAGTCTACTTGTGTGCCACATTATATTGAAATCAGAACAAAACTGGTGGACGAGTAGTATTTAAAATAAAATTTCACAGAAATTTCTATTATTAATAACCATGGCAACACCGTTCATCGAAATCAAAAACCGATGCACAGAATTATGTATCTTAGTGTAATCTACTTGTGTGCCAAGTTATATTGAAATCGGACCAAAACTGTAAGAGGAGTAGCATTTTGAAAGAAGTTCACAGAAATTTCTATTTTTAGTAACCATGGCAACACCGTTCATCGAAATCAAAAACCGATGCACAGAATTATGTATCTTAGTGTAGTCTACTTGTGTGCCAAGTTATATTGAAATCGGACCAAAACTGTAAGAGGAGTAGCATTTTGAAAGAAGTTCACAGAAATTTCTATTTTTAGCAACCATGGCAACACCGTTCATCCAAATCAAAAACCGATGCACAGAATTATGTATCTTAGTGTAGTCTACTTGTGTGCCAAGTTATATTGAAATCGGACCAAAACTGTAAGAGGAGTAGCATTTTGAAAGAAGTTCACAGAAATTTCTATTTTTAGTAACCATGGCAACACCGTTCATCGAAATCAAAAACCGATGCACAGAATTATGTATCTTAGTGTAGTCTACTTGTGTGCCAAGTTATATTGAAATCGGACCAAAACTGTATGAGGAGTAGCATTTTGAAAGAAGTTCACAGAAATTTCTATTTTTAGTAACCATGGCAACACCGTTCATCGAAATCAAAAACCGATGCACAGAATTATGTATCTTAGTGTAGTCTACTTGTGTGCCAAGTTATATTGAAATCGGACCAAAACTGTAAGAGGAGTAGCATTTTGAAAGAAGTTCACAGAAATTTCTATTTTTAGTAACCATGGCAACACCGTTCATCGAAATCAAAAACCGATGCACTATTTTATGTATCTTAGTGTAGTCTACTTGTGTGCCAAGTTATATTGAAATCGGACCAAAACTGTATGAGGAGTAGCATTTTGAAAGAAGTTCACAGAAATTTCTATTTTTAGTAACCATGGCAACACCGTTCATCGAAATCAAAAACCGATGCACAGAATTATGTATCTTAGTGTAGTCTACTTGTGTGCCAAGTTATATTGAAATCGGACCAAAACTGTAAGAGGAGTAGCATTTTGAAAGAAGTTCACAGAAATTTCTATTTTTACTAACCATGGCAACACCGTTCATCGAAATCAAAAACCGATGCACAGAATTATGTATCTTAGTGTAGTCTACTTGTGTGCCAAGTTATATTGAAATCGGACCAAAACTGTATGAGGAGTAGCATTTTGAAAGAAGTTCACAGAAATTTCTATTTTTAGTAACCATGGCAACACCGTTCATCGAAATCAAAAACCGATGCACAGAATTATGTATCTTAGTGTAGTCTACTTGTGTGCCAAGTTATATTGAAAAATCGGACCAAAACTGTAAGAGGAGTAGCATTTTGAAAGAAGTTCACAGA